GCTGATGCAGGGGACACGGGTTCATGCCCCGGTCCGGGAAGATCCCACATGCCGCGGAGCGGCTGGGCCCGTGAGCCATGGCCGCTGAGCCTGCGCGTCCGGAGCCTGTGCTCCGCAACGGGAGAGGCCACAACAGTGAGAGGCCCGCGTACTGCAAAAAAAAGGAAAAAAAAAAAGATTACTTCCTTTTTGAGGTTGAGATCTCATTTAGGGGCTACATGTGATACTGAGATGTGGTTGCCAAGCCATCTCTATGCTAAAGGCATGAACACATCTAGCGAGTAATAGGTACTATGTCTCTGTCCTCATGAGGAAGACTTCTCTCCCAAGTGGGCTGCAGCACCAGCTGGTGTAGTTCTGATGAAACCTTGAATTCCTCTCCTCAACAGTGACCTAAGTGCTCTGCTAGATGATTTATTGATGGACAGAACCCATAAATGTGGTTGTCATTGCAAAGAGAGAGACATGCTGTCCTGAATATTTGCAAAATGGTCTTGTAAAAATGTTTTGTGAGTGGTAGTTTTATATTATGTTTTCCTTTAGAGATTTAAAGAAATCATTCATTTTGTGCCTGACAGAGACATTTGCACATAATCCACCGTGGGCATTTGGGTTACCTTAATATCAATCACTTTGACTCTTTTAAAAGAATTTTGAAGAGGTTCATACTTAAAGTATTTTTATCCTAACAACATCTCTCCTTCTATGACATTGCTTTGCTTCTGAAGGTCAGCCTTCTTTCCTTTTATTTTTTAAAAATGATATCTTTTGTCATAAGTGCATTTTTTCTTTCTAAAGCTAATTTTTAAAAAATAGGTCTTAGATATGCATTCACATACTCCATTTCTAATTCATTGTTTTAAACTTTCAGGCTCAACGTTAAAGAAGCTTCTACACACTGGAAATTCTATTAAGGTATTTATTTTAGATGAAAGTAATGGCTTTTTTAATTACTCTTAAACTTATTCATGCCATAAAGTGACAAAATTAGGCCATTTTGAAAAATAAAATCTTTAAAAGCCATTTAACTTAATTTTTATTTTAATTGAGAAATGATATGACAAATATTGTTAGAGTTTTATACTTACATAATAATTTATTGTGCTAGACATTTTAAACATTAGTAGGAGAAAGTGGCTTGGCATTCGGAGTTTGGAATCCTGCGTTCTAATTTCTATTCTGCCCTGTGCAGCCAGGGGACCACCGGCGAGGTGCTGACTGCTTCAGCTGTATCATCAGAAAAGAGAAGTTGAACCAGATCCTCCCTAAGCTTCAGAGCTAATGTACCTGATTCTGTTCACCCCAGTAATCTTGTTGTTAAAAATTATAGTTGTCTCTCAATTATTTTTTGCTTTTTTTTTTTTTTTTTTTGGGTTTGGGGGGCTCTCACTTTTGTGGCCTCTCCCGTTGCGGAGCACAGGCTCCGGACGCGCAGGCTCAGCGGCCATGGCTCACGGGCCCAGCCGCTCCGCGGCATGTGGGATCTTCCCGGACCAGGGCACGAACCTGTGTCCCCTGCATCGACAGGCGGACTCTCAACCGCTGCGCCACCAGGGAAGCCCTATTTTTTGCTCTTTTTGAGAACACTTGTGGGGAAAAAGAGCAGCAGAGGCTGACTCTTGAATGTTTATTTGCAGCGGGTTGATCTTGTAATTTAAGTTAAAATTGGCTTATTTATAATGAATGTGCCTTTTATAAAAGTATACCATTTGATGCTGGAATAAGATGACCCTAAAACGTAAGTGGCAAAAGAAGCCAGCCTGGGATGTATGTTTTATGGAAGATAATTCACTTCATAGCTATTTAATTTATGTGCGTGCCTTTAATAGGTTCACTCTCTCTTACCTGTTGGAAAAAAGAGATGAGCTGTCCCTAGTTTCGTGACTGTTCCATATTTTGTCCCTCCTATTTTAATTAATGGTCTTATAGCTAAAACTTACCAGCTTATCTTGTGTTTATTATTGGACTTATTTATATTTAATTATCTTAATGTAGTTAACATAAAAAATTGGCGATTTGTGATCGGAGTATGTAGAAAATTTTCTCTTGTTAAATTTGATATAATTTGGTTAGCTATACATAGAGCCCTGTCATTTTTTGTTGAGTGCTGAATAGCATTATGTATTCAGCATCGTCACCGCTCATCTCACCTGCTGGGCAGGTGTGAGCGGCTGAGCAGAGCAGAGCAGAGCAGAGCTGAGTCCAGGGCACGTCTGGAAGGGTGTCATGGGCTCGGTGTTGATGGGGTATCTGTCTTGGTGTATTTGACTTCTCTGGGGGGTCCATCCAACCTTTTCTCTCTCCCTCTCTCCCTCCCTCCCTCCCTCTCTTCCTTCCTGTCTCTCCTCCTCCTCTTACCTTTCCTGCAGAGCCTGGGGCTTGGCTTGAACACTTGCTGTGGAGGAATCAGCACCACTTTGGTGTCACTGAAAGGAGATCAGGCAGCCCCTCAGTTACCTGTATTTGGAGCTCACTATGTCTTTCAGCTGCGTCTGACATTTTTTTCATCTCCTTTGCTTATTTAACCTCTTTTATTGACATCATCTTCCCAGCCATTTAGGAATATAAAAATGGAGTTACCTGTGTTTATGAATTCTTGGAATGGGAAGTTGAAAGTAAGTGCAGAGGAGGAAAAAGGGCACATCTGCCTATATTGATATTTTGTACCGATGATGCCAACGATTTGGCGCATGGCAAAGTGTAGGAGAGAATAGAGTAGGGACACAGACAGGGGAGCCAGGTCTTCAGGGTCCTATTCAGCTCTAAGTGTTCTGATTTTCGGGAACATCATACATGTGCATAATGTAGTGACATGACAAAAATTCTATCCAAAGCGCAGTGTAAGTTTGGAGGACGATTCTCTTTGCATTGTTTTCATGAGTATTCAAGCGTTGATGGTATGGGTGCTGTTGCCATGAAGAATGAAGTACTGCTTATAGGAAATGCTTAGGTAGCACTTATGTGAGCTGGGCAGTTCTAACTCACTTCACCCCATACCAGCACTTTGTGGTAAACTCTGTTATCGTCCCTGTTTTACAGATGGGGGCGCCGAGGCACAGAGGAGTTAAGTGGTCCTCCACGGCTCACAGCTAAAGCTAGAAAGTGGCTGAGGCTGCACTGGAGCTCAGGCACTCTGGCCCTCGTGCTGGGTTGCAGTGCCCTTGCTTCCTTGTCACTCAGGGAAGGACTTGGTGCAGGACTTCAGTAATGCTTTTAGCTTCTAGTTTATTTTCCCCCAGAACCAATGCTACATTGCAATGCATTCCTACAAATACATGTACGTATTTACTTTTGTTGCCTTTGATATTGTTTTTAGATAAGATGTGAAGGAATCAGGCTGTATCTCCTGTGGCTTCAAGCACTTCAGACAAACTGTGCAGAAGAGCAGGTGCTGATCTTTGCTTGCCTGGTGCCCGGTTTCCCAGCCATCATGTCGTCCAGGGGGCCCTGTACACTGGAGACACTCATCAATCCTGGCCCCAGCGCAGCTGACGGTGAGCGATGGTGGCACATCTTACAGGTGGAAACAACCCTCCAAGTTGCGTTGAGAAATTCCTTGGTCTGTCCTTTTCCTGAATAGAAACCTTGGTTTCATAGATGGGTAGTCATGTTTTGTACTCACAGTAGATTCTTACAAACATTAGAACTGACAGAGTTGGAGCCTGTTTTATATGAAATGATGACAGGAGAAATTTACTGGAGTGGTGGAAACAGGAACGGAAGGGAGGGGACGGCTGTTGGCAGGAGCAGAGACGCATGGTACGTCCGGAGTGAGTGCTTTTGTTGCTGTTAATGAGATTTAAATCCGCCTCCCAAACTGCTGCCTGTTGCCCTCATCGCGATTGTTCTATAAGTGGGCGTTCATCTGCTCCCCCAGGCTCTTTGTTGCCAGCTGTGTATTTTCATGCAGCATTCATGGAAGGACAGTGGTGGCCTCACCGGACTATTAATGCCAGCCGTTTGTGCCCAGTGAGTTTTCAAGGAACTTGCTCATTAGGGCCACTGATTTATTACTGCCTATCACTTTATTGCCCAGTGACAGGTATTTGATCTTGGGCTGGCCAGAGCAGAATGTGAAAGGGAAAAGAATGGTCCAGTGTGGGAGGAGGCTTCATGGGCCTCTGTCCCCTGTGTCAGATGGGCCTGGCCTGAAGTGTGAGCAGTTCCAGTGGTTGGTACATATATTTTATTTTATTTTTTTGAAATTTTTATCGGAGTGTAGTTGATTTACAATGTTGTGTTAGTTTCTGCTGTACAGCAAAGTGAGGTACATGTATTTTAATAGAGGCCATTTTTCAAAGCCCTGTTTGAAATTTAACTTTGGTGAAAGAGGTTTCATTATTTTCCACTCTGCAGCAAAGATATATCCAGAAGAAATCACACCACTCCTGCCAGCCATATCAGGGGAAAAGATCACTGAGGACCAAACATGCTTTTTTCTTCAAATACTGTTGAAATATATGGTTACTCAGGTATGAGCAAAATCGTGGATAATTCAGTGATGGTCGTATTCTCAGTAGGAAGGAGAAAACATTGCCTCTTTTCTTCCTCTTTGTTCATATTTTATATTTTTGCTTTTTCTTTGAGATGATTTTATTTGGTATTTCACTAAACATAGAATGTGTGCCAGGACACTTCAGCAGAGACCAGGCCTACATACTAGTATGTGTGTGTATGTGTGCGTAAAGGGCGCAATTCCATCCTCCATCTGTCTCCTTTACTTTCGTATGGTTTCATATTATTCACACAGAACACTTCACTTATGACACTTCTGCTCACCAAACGTGTGGAATTTGAATCACCTAGTAATTCTCTGCGACACTAGCCGGGTATCTTAACAATTTAACTCACTTCCGACACTCTCTACCTGGAGGTGGCCTCAGGTCTCACAGGAAAGGACTCAGTCCTCTAATGTGCCCCCACCCCCTCAGATGCCAGTCGCAGGGAGTCGGTCCCCAGGTTGCCCACGACTTCTGTTCAATCTGCCTACAAATCAGAGGTTCACATGACTCACTCCTCAGGTTCAATTCATTTTCTGAGTGGCTCACAGAACTCCGGGAAACATTGATTTACATTTCCCAGTTTATGAAAGGATATGATAGAGGACACGGGTGAACGACCGGATGAAGACACACACAGGGTGAGGTCTGGGGGCATCCGGGGCACAGGGGCTTCTGTCCCTGTGGATGGGGGTGCGTTCCCCTCCTGGAGTGTCCATGTGTTCAGCCTGGACACTCCCTGAAACCCAGGCTGTTGGGATTTTTCTGGCAGCTTCTTCACGGGGACATGATCAATTATTAACTCCATTTCCAGCCCCCCTCCCGCCTCTGGAACGATGGGGCAGGGGGCGGGGAGAGGTTGAAAATTCCAAGCTTCAGACCGAGGCTTGTCCTCCTGGTGACCAGCCCCGTCCAGGAGCCCCTTCAGAGTTGCCTAGAGCTCTTGTCACTTAGAAGTGACCAGGGTGTTAGGGCCTCTGTGCCAGGAGCCAGGGACAGAGACCAGTATAGGTATTTCTGTTATCTCAGAGTATCTGACGATTTTTGTCTGTTTGTTCCTTTCCTGCCCCTGTTGGTGGGAGGATGGGGGAGGAGCAAGCCCGAGGCTGACCGGGTGGGTCCGGAATGATTGGGCAGAGCGGGCAGGGGTCCTGGAAGGAAACCTGTGGAATGATCTCATCCTGCCGTCAGCACGGCCTGCTTTATGGCGCGTGGTCCTTTCTCTGAAATTTACCAGCTGAATACAGAACTAAACTAGGGGATTTATGTCTCTTGGTCTGTATTTCTGAACAGTGATGAGGTTTGGAAAAAGCTACTGCTTCTTTTCTCTCAGCAAACACGTCCCTGGTCCCTGAGCTCCTCCGGGGTGTCGTCCAGGCTCTGTCCTTCCCGTCCCAACCTGGTTTGTTGACGTGTGATCTCTGCCATGTCCGCTTCCTCACCCAATGGGCCTTTGACACCGGCTGTCGCCTGCCTCTGCCCCGTCACCGCGAAATCAGGGACCCGGGATGCACAGGGTTCTAGTGTCAGGTCCAGAGAAGGACACTTGAGTGTTTGTCGTCCTTGACCTTCCGGGTGATTCCAGGGGACCCCCTTCTTTGTCAGGGTCTCTCCTCCTGTGATGCTTCCCCTCCCATCCTTTCCTCCTTTCCACCTTCCTCTAGGAGACTGTGTTTCTCACTGCCCTTTCTGCCCACCATGTCCCGCGGGGCGACCTTGTGTGCTCTCCTCTCCCCGATTCCTTTAGCAGCACCGCAGGCACAGGACTCCCACATCCTGAGCGCCTGGCCTGGCTTCTGTCGCCGTCGGGGAGCCCCATGTCCTAGCTGTGCGGCCCCTCCTGCACGCCTCTCAACCCCATATGTCAGGAGTGGTTGGGTCGGGCTTTCCATCCATCCCAGGAGAGCAGCAGAGTAGCCAGAACCCGGATGTGCTGGGGGACTTGGGTTTCATTCTAGATGTGTGACCTCAGATGAGTCCTGTAGCCCCTGGGACCCCATCAGAGGAAGGATTGGTAGAGGGTGGAGGTGACCCCCCTCCACTGTGTGCAGGATTGTGTGTGCGTGTCCGCCCACCCCCTCCCTCCCTCGGCCTGTTGGGTGGGTGGGTCCTCGGAGCAGAGCTTAGCCCTTGCCTCACCCCGGGGGGCTTCTGACAGGTGGGAGACATGGGCCCCTCTGCCCTAGGTCGGCCACGGCCCCTCCTCCCTGGACCGCAGGTGCCCCGGGGGGGCCGAGTCAGGAAGGTGTCAGGAAGCTCTGCTCTAGAGCGCACTGCGGTCTCACAAGCGTGACGGCCAGTGGCAAGCATTCTCTAAGGGCCTGTTCACGCCACGTTTCCCTCAGTTGTGGGAGGACCCCCCCCCCATCACCATCTGGGCTCCTGGCCTGTGTGGGCCTCTCCCTGCGGGGGAGCTGTTTGCAGTGCTGCCACTGGGGGATGCGGCACTGGTTATTTGAGGGGGAAACAGTGTCTTGACACTGTGAAGGGGTTAAACTTAATCTGTAGCTGGGCTGGCAGGCCAGGTTTATCCCAGCCTGTGGATTGCTCTATTTTTTTAATTGAAATACAGTTGCTTTACAATACTGTGTTAGTTTCAGGTGTACAGTGAAGTGATTCAGTTATACATGTAGCCTATGGATTGCTTTTCATGCCCTTTCCAAGATTCCATAGCTTTGTGTTTTGATAATGATTTTGCATGTAGGTAACATTGGATAAAATTCTTGCAAGGGATTGTTTCCTTAATTCTTGTTTACTGTAAATGGCCTTTTTTGAATTAAAAAAAAACACCTGATTACTTCTGACAGAACATTTTAAGGGCACAAAGGACATTAAATCATTACAGACAACATGTAGAAAAAAATATGGGCATGATGTAGTAGGACAAGTTTAAAAAGATACGGTATCATTGTTTTTTTTTTTTGAATATCCGGTAAAAATTCTGTTTTTAACCTAGTTACTGTTTTGTTTTGAAGTATTCCTTCTTGTCGTCTTTTGAGTTTTAAGATGTTATTACATAATTGTCACTGCTATTTCTCACGTTTTTTATTTAGGATAGGAATTTTAATAACATAGCAGCATTTCAGTTGAGTGTTCATTAACCTGAAATGTAACTATATATATGTTTTTCCCATGTGTTATCTGAAGGCCGCAAGCTTGGAGTGGAAGCACAAGGAGAATCAAGAGACTGGTTTCAAATTTCTTTTTACATTGTTTAGAAAGTATTACCTTCCTCATTTGTTTCCATCATTTACCAAGTTGACGAACATCTACAAGCCTGTGCTTGGTAAGTACTGAGTGGGCTGTGTGTCCCGCCTCTTCCAAAGTGGACTTTGATTATTTTTAAATAAAATAATCATTCTTTCTCATGTTTAATGGTAACTTTGTTGTAAGAAGTTTACGGTTTCCTAATGAATGATTTTAACTATTTGTACAAACTAAGATTTACCTCAGTTCACAGCAATAAAGGGAATCTGTGGCTCCTGTACTTAGAAGTAATTTGATATATATCATGGTATTTTTGGTGTAATTACATTTAATAAAATTTTTAATGTAAAAAAATCCTGAATTTCCTGAAGTATACTCTTACGGGTGGTGGGGTGTGGAGACCCCAGACCTTGCCCAGGGATGAGGCCAGCACAGGCCACAGAGCTGCCCTCAGTATGGCTTTTTCAGCACTGGATCCTTCATCCAGCAGGTGCTACTCACAGCTTCTAATGGAGGGACAGATGTTTGGGTGACTGGGGAACCAAGGGACGGTGAGCCCCCGAGAGATAGGAAATGTAAAGGGATTTCTAATTTAGCTTCCAGGGTTTTCCTTCTATAAGAGGTGAGGACGCATAGGACAGAAGCATCCCTTGCAGTGGTGGCGGAGGGAGTGGGGTGGTGGACAAATCTTTCTCTCCCTATTATTTTAAAATGAGTGAAAATAGTTCAAATAAATGATCAAGAACAGTTTTGGAAGAGAAAAGGTCACAACAGCCGTTAACACATCTGGGGAGTGTGGACAGCTAATTCAGTTATCTTTGGGTGTCTGTGAGTTCACCCACACACCTGGGCAAGGAGAAGCAGCTGAAGCTCGGCTCACTTGGAAAGTGGTAGAAGTGCTGACTTTTAGTGGTACCAGGGTATGTATTTTGTTAGCTATATATTTGTGGGTAATTTTTTCAAAAATTGTTTCTGATTTTATGAGTCCTCCATTTCATTGTAGAAAACATAGTGTATTGTCACTATCCTTAGATTACAAGGGATTTGTTGAGAACTTTTCTGCCGCAGGTATTTCCATAAGAGAGTTGAACTTAGAGCAAATGGTGTCTCAGATTCAATACCATATCATTTTCATATTAATTATGGTGTTTAAAGAATGAGAAGTGGACTTCTTATTAATTCTTTGGAAATGGTGGTGTCTGATATCTCCAAGATGAAACATGACTGTCTGAATTCTTTTAGACATAAAGTCGATTATACTAATTCTATGTCTTTGGATGCATCTAAAGGGAGAAGGATATAAAACTAAAGATTGATAGATTTGATCAGTGTAATGTTAGGTGATAAAATACCTAATGCAATAAAAAATGTCTATATATGCTTTTACATCTATTCTAGTCATAAAATAAGATTAAATTAGTTATATGTGAAAAGATTTTCACTATTGTAATCTCATGTAATTTCTCAAATTCGTTAAAAAGAGTTATGACCTTTGTTTTTCCACAGCTGTATACATAGTTGTATGTAGGTAATAGCAACCACCACCCCGCGTTGGTCAGACTGCAAGGCAGGCCCAGAGCCGAGCCTACCAGAAGATGCCATTTTTAATCACTTGGGTTTTTAAATCTCAGCTGCTGTTAAACAACCAGATATATGTCTATTTAATTAGAAACTGAAACATTTGTAGGGGTTACATGATGTTCTGATCATGTGTTCTTCTGTCTTGCAGACATCCCCCACTTGAGACCAAAGCCCGTGTATGTTGCTACAGCTCGAGACAGTGAGAGCACCTACAGCACGAAAACCCCATACATGGCAGCTCGCGTTGTTTTTATTAAGTGGATCGTGACTTTCTTTTTGGAAAAAAAGTATCTAACTGCAACACAAAACGCTAAGAATGGAGTTGACGTATTGCCCAAAATCATTCAGGTATATCATTCATCACTTTTTTATCTTTCAATTCTGATGTCATAACCTATACTAACACCAAAGTAATTGACTATCAGGGTTATTGGCTCTCACAGGTTGTTGGTCATAGGGACTCAATTTACTGGTTCCTCTGTCTGTACTGCTGAAGTCTCAGAGGAAGCCATGAGTTGGAAGCACTTGCCGTGCTCTGTTGGTGTTGCCATGACAAGGCGACCCTGGGGCCGAGGGAGGCCTTCTGAGCAGGTGGCTGACCTGTGTGCTCCTGGCTCCCTCTCACCTCCCGTGCTTCACTCGGGCCCCAGTGACCTTGAGCATGATGCCGAGGGCCTCTCTTGCCTTGTTCCTCCCAGCCCCAGCAGGGTCCTCAGGAATTGTGAGGTGGTCCGTGGAGAGGACCCCTGAGACTGCCAGGTGCCCTCTGGGATCTCAGGGAGGGAAGGGGTGGGTCAGCAGCTCAGGATTTCGGGTGGTTGTTGAGCCACTGTGGGGTCCCCAGAAGAGATGGCTGTGTCTCCCTGAGGCCTGGGTGAAGCCCTCTTCTCACCTTGGGGGCTGCGGGGCTTCCCTCTCTCAGTGGCATTGGTCAGACATGTGGGGCTTTCTTGGCAGGCTGTGTGGCTTCAGACCTTTGTGCAGGCAGAGCAGGACCACTTGTGGAAGTCAGAGAGGCCGCTGTGTGGAGGAGTCATGGTTTCGTGTGCTTTGTTTCACTGGCGCCAAGAGCAGGGGCAGGAAGTGTGGTCCACTTAGTGCCGGTTGGCTGATGCTCTGCAGTTCCCAGATGTGTGATGTCAGCCTGGGCTGGAGGGTGCACTCCCCGAGGGACACTCAGTACCCTGATGGCAGAGCACCGAGCCGGTCCAGAGCACAGGCTCCGTAATGAGAACAACAAAAGACTCGCTAAAAGAAAGTTTTAAAAACTCTTCAATTTCTGAATTTAAAAATTTAGTAGGTAAACTCTAAATGGTAATGATCACTGCTGAGAATAAAATTGGTTTTCTGACGAAATATCCCACAACACTGATAAAAAAAATCAGAGATGGAAATAGAAACTAATAGATAAAACCTTAAGTGCAGACCTACCTTGTAGATATTGTGAGGACAGAAGGAGAAAAGAATGAGAAGTAATAATTGAACGAACAGTAAGAAAAGTTTACCTAAGCTAAAAAAAACAGTCGTGCCTTAAACTGAAAGGGCCTTTGAGTCCCAGGAAGAATTAGCAAAACAGACCTAAACAGACATTTGGCTTTCAGGGATTAAGGAAAAATGCTACAGACTTCCAAACAGGAACTGCATTTATTTCAAAGGAATGACACTGAGATTAGCACCAAATATCTAATGAAATCTGCAGCGCTGGAAGCCAGAGGAAACTGTCTGTCTGTCCCTCGGTCTGTCCCTTTCTCAGAGTCTCACTTCATATCACGTACATAAGCACTTGGTCACATTGATTTACGGCCTAAGTTGACTTAAGGTCTAAATATAAAAACAAAGTGATAAAGAACTTAGGAAAAAATCTAGGAGAATGTATAAATTTGGGAAGTGGGAGACCACCTTTGGTAGAGATGAAACCCACAAACCAAAGACTAATCGAGGTTTGACTTTATTTTAAAAAATAGAGCTTCCCTGGTGGAGCAGTCTGCCTGCCGATGCACGGGACACAGGTTTGTGCCCCGGTCCGGGAAGATCCCACATGCCGCGGAGCGGCTGGGCCTGTGAGCCATGGCCGCTGAGCCTGCACGTCCGGAGCCTGTGCTCCACAGCGGGAGAGGCCACAACAGTGAGAGGCCCGTGTACCGCAAAAAATAAAATAAAATAAAATAAATAAATAAATAGAAAAAGATTTAGAAATCTTTTTGATTTTGAATTAGAATGTCAAAATATAACATAAAGCCAGGCCCAAGCAATAGACTGTGAAAACATTGGTCACATCATGACTGTTCATAGTCTCTGCTGTATAAAGAGCACCTATGAATAGATATGAAGACAAATAAGTTAACCGAAAATGGACAAAGGAGGTGAAAGGCAATTCACAGAAGAGGAAATAAAAATGGCCCTGGATCTCTCCAGCAGTCAGGAAAACACAGTTAGTTCTGAGCCACGATGAGAGGCCTTTATTCACCCATCAGGGAGACAAAAACTAAAAATCCTCAGGTAGACAAAAATCTGTAGGAAATAGAAGAAACTCAGTCACACTCTGATAAATTTTTCATGGTGTCTCAATGTGGTTATGCAGGCAATTCAAAACGCTGTCGTAGAAAGGATGTAATTTTTCCTGCCTAGTTTCAAAATTTCAGAAAATCATCACCTGTATTTATTGAAAATAAGTTGCTCATTCTTGAAAAATACATTTGGAGGATAAGAAGTAGCAAGACTAGCAAATTAACCACTGCCTCCAGGTTCTAATTTTTTTCCTGTTGACTCTTCACACTTGTGACTCATTTCCTTTTATTATATAGCTAAAAGTGTCATAAGGTTCTGACGTCCTGAATTGGTTAGGAGAGTTTTAGCACCCTAACAGGAAAAAGGCACCAGAACTCAAAACTGTCATATCCATAAAAGAAATGTTTCAGTCTTCATAAAAGAGCAGCTCGAGGTGAGGCTGGCCGAGGCTGTGGCTGGTGCCTGCCCTCTCCCTTGTTCTCTCCTTCGCCCTTTCCCTCTGCTCCTCCCTGAAGGTTGCAGCAGCAGCTGGGGCCCTGCTTTCCTAGTTCATGTTTAAAGACAGTCCAGAAGTGCAGAGCCCTTCCCTTTTGTCTTTGGGGAACAATTTAGGTTACCTGTGCGCTCTGAGGACAAAAATAAGTTGCTGATTGGCTCAGATCTGGGGGTGTGAACAGCCCAGGGGGTGGTGACCAGCTTCCAGGAAGCAGAAGGCTCCTCTGGTGCCAGGGGTCAGCTTCCTGTGAGGCAGGTGCGCTGCATGCGAGGGGTGAGGTGCAGAGCACTGGGGTTCCATGAAGGGGGAAGGGATGCTGGGCAGACACCATCCAGGCCCACGGTTACTGTGCCCTGAAGGTGGCCATGCCCAGACATGGCCACTGCCATGGTCCAGGCTGTTAATACACCTTGCAGTCAGTTGTTATGTTAGTTCCCTGCTGTTACTGTAGCTAATCACCACCAATGTATTATCTTACAGCTCTGGAAGCCAGAAAGCCAAAACCGGTCTTAGTGGGCTAAAATCAAGGTGTGGGCAGCTCTGTGTTCCCTCTGGAGGTTCTGGGGCGGAGAGGGGGGTCCATGCTCTTGCCTTACCTGGCCTCCAGAGGCTGCTGCATTCCCCAGCTCACCGCCCCTCATCACATCATTTCTCCCTCTGTTTCCATCTTCACATCACCTTCTCTGTGTCTGCTCCTCCTGCCTCCTTGTGGATCCTTGTGGTTACATTGGGACCACCCAAGTAATTCAGGGTCCTCTCCCTATCTCAGCGTCCTTAGTCACATCTGCTCAGGCCCTTCTGCCACATAAGGCAGCGCAGTCAAAGGTTCCGGGATTCCGCGTAGACATCTTGGTCATTATTCAGCCAACCTGTCTCCTTGTGTTTCCGTTTCTGCCTTACAATTCTGTTTTCCCTCTCGTCTCACGTGTGTCTACCTTATGTTCTGCTCCTCATTTATATCATACAGGAGAAAAAGCAGTTTAAACAACTGAATATTAAATTTTGGAAATGGAGTTGCAGGAATAAAAGCACATGTAATTGTATTTATCTCCTGAAAGTTTTTGTTTGGAGTTTCAAGTTTAATATAATTTTACCCGTGTAAAGTGAACATCACTGTCTAAGTCAGGTGATCCAGAATCTCTTTTCAAAGAATGTACTGCTCTTATAAAAGCCCTTTAAAACAATATTTTATAATGCTGCTTCCAAATAGAGTTCACACTTTTGCCACTATTACTGTGTTAAAGGTCATGTATGGGGGTTTTTGTGTGTGTGTTTTTCCAAAGTGAATTTACTTCCTTTTGATCTAGAACTGATAACTTTGACAGTATTTTTCACCAGAGAGGAAAGGAATTAGCTCACTTAGCCCTCGGAGAATGTGGTTTGACAGATATTCTTGTTTGGTGGCATCATTCATGGGAGAGCGAGAATACGGTTGCCTGGAAATCTGGTACCATGTTGGCAACAATGACCACAAATCCCCCTTTCAAACCTGAACATTCTTGGTGCTTCATCTCAGCCAAAAGTGTTTTCAGTGAACTATTATTTATTCCTTGGTAATTCATTTTTGTATGACATAGAAGTACTCCAGCACGTATTAGAGAAAGCGGAGTAGTGATTTTAAAATTTCAGTAGCACATTAATTAAGCATTAAAACCCAAAGAAGTCCATGAGGGAATGAAAAACAGTGTGCGATACTAAGACAGTTGATCGCGCTTATTTGTATGATAACTCTTTAGTTACAGTGTTAAAGTACCACTTTTACTAATTCTGAGCCAGCCCTTCAATAATGATTCATGGGCTATGGGTTTCCCGAAATTGTTGGATCTTATGGGATGAACAGTTAGAAAAGATGAATCACACAACTTGACACCCCTGGGGAAGCTTGTGTATCACACAGACCCACCTGTCTGTTGACTGCCACTCTAGTGCTCTGTGTTCTTACTTCTATCAAGGCAAGCGTAGGCTGCCTCCAACCCCATGGGCAAATCATGACGGGGAATTGAGTGGCATCAGGCATCACCAGCAGAACGGCAGCTGCATCCTCGTTTCACACCTGCTTTGTGGGTGTCCTCATCTGGCCTGACCCTGAGGGTGAGCAAGTCTCAGTATGAGCCATGGGTTGAGAGGAAACCAGGGTGGGGAGGGGAGGGATTAAGTGGAGCCTGTATCATGCAATTTCCTGAGCCCTAACAGCACAGACCTAGTCCAAGCAGATATGTCTGCTTCACTGGCTAAGCCTTCATCGTATGGCAAAGAGGTAAAAAGCATCTTTATATTTACCACCAGAATCAACTAATACTAAATTGTAGTTGAGAATTCCAGCTTGATTGTAGTGGGCAGAAAATGGACCTCTCTCTGTAGTTAATTCGTATTCATTCTTTTATTGTTAATCTTCAGAAAAGAGGCAAGAAATGATTAAACTTGAATTACCAGTTTGTTTCCACTCTCATCACTTACTATAATTATAAATGTCTGTTAAATCATACAGATGTTTTTGGAAAGCAGCCTTTTGCTGGTGCGAACTAGCGGAGGCTGAGAAAAGCACTGTTTTATCAAGAGAAGTAGTTTTCAATTTATGGCATGATGGGAAGTTCATCTATGTTATCATTATGTTCTATTTGGATCACAGAACTCACTTTTTAGAAACAATTTGGTGCCTTTAAACATAATTCTTTACATACATGATTTTAGTTATCTAATTGCTGTGTTATCTAATTCGTTATCTAATGACCTCAAAATGGAGTGGCTTAGAACAACCACCATTTAATCATATTACTTATTTCCCTTTCTGGGTCAGGAATTTGGGTGGGATTTGGTTGGACAATTTGTGTGCTTCATGTGGCATTAGCTGAGGTCAGTGGGCGGTGGTCAATGGCTGGCTGGTCCAGAGGGTCCAGGATGACTTCATTCCCGTGCCTGTTACTCTGGTGGATGCAGCTGGAAGGCTGGGCTCTACTGGGCCTCCCTTTCCACGTAGCCCCTCTAGCGAGGCAGTTGGACTTCTTCCCTGGCCGCTTAGGGCTCCGAGAGCAAAAGTTCACAGAGATGCCAAGCGGGAGTGGTCAGCCTCCTGGGCCCGGGGCCCGAGAAGGCACAGGTCCCCTCCACCCTTCCGTTCTGCTGGTTAACTCTGTCCCCCAGCCAGTGGGGATCCAAAGGAGGGGACGCAGATTTCCCCCTTCTGCAGAGGGAGTGCCAAAGAATTTGTGGCCATTTAAATTTTTCTATGTAAGTATGTGTGTACTTTTTTTTTTTTGGCCTGTTGGGAAAATGAAAGTTATTGATCAAAAAGTCACAGTTTATTAAGCCATAAAGGACATTAGATTTAATCCAACCTCCATGCTTTACAGATTAAAAATGTATGTATATCAGTAAGAATGAGTAAAATTTTATTTTTCTCTGCAAGGTAGTTGACCCATCAAAAAGATGAAATAATTTCTATAGGGTAGCTCACTGCACAGTGTGGCAGTGCCTTTGATAAGCCACACAGGCTTAATATCCCAGGCATGAAGAGAAAAGTTACTATTAATATAATTTTCTATTAATTTTCTCTAGAGATTATTTTTTGGATATCTGCTTTGCTTTCAAACTATCCTTGGTAGTTGCTGAAGTTATTTTGTACGACTCATTTCTTGTCACTTCTTGTAAAAAATATTCACAGTCGGTAGAATTTTAGTGGTATGTGGGTTATATATTTTTGACACAAAAGAATAATACTACTGTAATTTACAAAGATTGAAGCAAAATTACATGTATGTTGTGTTTGGAGGAAATCTTTAATTCTGGGGGAAATGAGAGCAAAAAACAAATTAAACTTTGTGAATGCTTACATAGATTATTTTATTTCTTTGTGCTCCTAAAGCCTCTAAATATTTAAAGTTTTATAAATATTTTAGTTAAGTTTGATCCGAGATTCTGAATATAAAACTCAGATCAAGGTCCTTCTCATAAAATACTCTTTAAAGATATTGACACTCCTCCGATCAAGGTGTCACTTACTCATGTGAATCAGATGAAGCTTCCCAGCACTGTGGCTGCAAAAAATCCACCAAATTTTCAAATCTCTGTGACCGTAGATTAAGTGCTGAAGGGTGGAGACCAGAGGTAAATTCATTTACACATTAATTTATTCTGTGATTTTACAGATATAAACCAAACGTTTTAGGCTGATAACATTTCGCAGCCTCCCTCCCTGCAATACTTTTCCCATTAAAATAACTTAGTTGGGGAGGAGGTTAGTTGGTGAATTAGAAAGTGGGTAAGTGCAGGTCCTGGAGTCCCTTGTGCTCCGAGCAGGGCTGCGTTTCAGCTGCTCTTCAACTGCATGGTAACCGGAGTCCGTGAAAACAAGGCAAGCCTTCAGTCTTGCCAGGTGTTCTGGAGTCTGGGAGGATCACTCAGGAGCGGGTGCCTTTCTTGCAGACCGTCGGGGGTGGAGGTGCAGTGCCGGAGCGGGCGCCAGAGCTGGACAACGGCGGGGCGACCGAGCAGGACAGAAGCCACTCGGACAGTGGCACCTTGTCCGAGCGCCGGCTCAGCAGCTGCAGTGTCTGTGGCGTTGAGGAGGAGCACCGCGCCGTGTATGAGATGGTCCAGCGCATCCTCCTGTCCACGCGTGGCTACATCAACTTCGTGAACGAAGTGTTCCGCCAGGTGAGTGTGTGTGTGTGTGTGTGTGTGTGTGTGTGTGTGTGTGTGTGTGTGGTCACAAAGCTGAAGAGGTTTTTGTTCTTGTTTTTTCACTCACACTACTCCAAGAAATATAATCGACAAGTTGGGCTCCATCACACAACTCCATAATGATTTCTCTAATCCCACGTTTAATGTGTCATGTGGAGGGGTGTGATTTGGGCTTTTTGGTAATTTTTAATTTTGTTTTTATGACTTTGGTTTTTGTAAAATTCCTACACGGGTGGGAAGATTTTATATTTGAACAAAATCATCCTGCAAATACCTCGTGTTTCCATAACAAACTTTAAACCCAGAGGGAGGCAGGGAGAAAGCCGCTCCTGAACCCCCGCAGCACTGAACCCCCGCGGCACTGAACCACCGCGGCACGTGAGCACAGCCGAGACGGCCCGAGGCTGGATTGTTCCAGGGCTGTAGGAGCTCACGAGCTGCAGGTTCCTGCACAGTTGGACTTTGCCCACAGAGGCATATATATGGCAGGCACCTCTAGTAGAGGTATTTATGGCCTGAGGGGAAAAAGGAGGCTGGGGAGGGGATTCAGAGGAAGGAAAGGAGCCGAGGCCAAGACATTGAAATAATTGACCTTTGGTGGAAACTGGGAGGTGAGAAGGTGTCGGGATGAGCAGAAGTGCAGACAAGAAAACAGGTGCAGCGAGGGAGGATGCTGGAGAGGTGAGAGCAGCCGCCGAGCAGCCTGCCCACCGCTGCAGCTGATTCATTGTCTGGACATGTGTGTGACTGGACACATGTGTGACTGTCACAGTGGGGAGGGAGGTGCTGCTACTGGCATCTAGTGGGAGGGAGCCTGGATGATTTTAAGCATCTGTGGTGCACAGGACAGCATCCTCCCAACCTCCCCGCCCATGACACATGTGCCCACAAGGCAGTAGTGCTGCTGGGCAGAAACCCTCAGCTGCAGCTTCGGACATAGGAAGCAGGGCCTTGATGAGGTGAGACAATAGCCTGGCACATCGGAGCAGCCGTTGGCCACCTGTGTCTTGGAACCGGTGCCCCGGGAAATGGAGAGCTTGTATGTGATGAGCGGATAGTCGTTCAGTCTGTGCCCCGAGCAGAGGGGGAGGCCCTCGGATGGCAGAAACCTGTTGGGGGGAGAAGAGGAGGAGCCTGTTCACACATGAGCGATGCACGTGCACTGCCAAGAGCTTCCCGCGGAGGCGAGACCCGCATGGGGAATGAGGAAACCTTCACCTCTGAGACTTATAGGAAAGAAACATCCACCAAGAGTGACAGTCCCAGCACAATCCACAGCAGTCTAGAGGTTTTACTGTATTTTGTATTTTAATCAATAAAAAATTTCTACTTAAGAAAATGGTGAGAAAGTGGCCATGGACAACATGGAACAAGCAAGCATGGCTGTTTTCCCGTAAAACCTTACTTACAAAAATTAAGTGGCAGGCTGGATTTGCATTGTGGATCATAGTTTGCTGATCCTGATCTAGAGTAATGTTTTAAACCCTTGGATACAAATACTTAAAATCAGATATCATTAACAAAGCTTTTAAATTTTGCACAAGAGAGAAGTGCTAAATTGATGTGGTTCTACCTATATTGCGTATTTATTTATTTATTATACACAAAGCTCCATTTGCATCCATTATTGGAATTCCACCCCTGGCAATAGTGTCTTCTAAGTTCTAGATTCAATCAAAATCCTAACTCCAGTGTAAATTCAGTTTTGAAGTAGAAACTGCATCATTGAGGTAACTGCAGACTACTTATGCCTGAAGTTATGAGCCATCTTTGTATCATGAAATTCAAAAACGTTTACATTTTATAATTATTCTTTTTTTTTTTTTTTTTGCGGTACGCGGGCCTCTCACTGTTGTGGCCTCTCCCGTTGTGGAGCACAGGCTCCAGACGCACAGGCTCAGAGGCCATGGCTCACGGGCCCAGCCACTCCGCGGCATGTGGGATCCTCCCGGACCGGGGCACGAACCCGTGTCCCCTGCATCGGCAGGTGGACTCTCAACTACTGCGCCACCAGGGAATCCCTATAATTATTCTTAATCAAATATAATTTGAAAGCTTATATGAAATTTTAAATATGATTATTATGCATTGTTAAAATACTGAAATAGAGACATTTGGGAAAAGGGGCATGGGTTTGAACATTGCGTTTTATTGCCCTCTCTTGGTCAATGATGAAGTTTTCTTTTATGGAAGACAAAATGTGACTTCTTTTATAATAATTTCTTTTTTAATTTTAAATTCTTCAGAGATTAAGCCTAAAGGCTGTTAAAGTTTAAAAATGTGCATTCATTCAAGAAGTGCACGTTTTCAGTGTGGAGTTAAGATGTGTGTGTACGTAACAGAGAACAGCGCAAGAGGCAGGTCAGATGTCCACACGCATGATGTGGGAACAAAGGCCCACGAGGACCACTGGGGGCTGGGTGGCTCAGGGCAGGGCTGACAGAGCAGTCACCTCAGACTGGATGGTTCAGTGAGTTGAAGGCGGTGGCCATAGACGGTTCCTGAGGGAGATGAGGTTTGGCAAGGTTCAAGGCAGTCTCCAGCAGGCAGGCTGGGTGGGTGGAGTGCGTCAGGAGTGCAGTTCTGATCCCTGGGCCACTCCACCAGAAACTTGTCTCCTAACTGCTGTTTTTCAGGCTACCTTATGTGATCATTTGTTGGTCATGAAATCAATGTAGTGGGTCAAGAGCCAGTATTTTTTAAAAAATTAATGAAATAGAGTAAAATAGAACAGACCAAAAAAACTCACAGCACAGTGCATATTGTAAGAATTAGTATTTCTTTGTGAAACTTCTGACTTATTTTTGTGTATACTACATACACAAATGCATATATCCTTATGGAAAATGTCTTACTTAGGTTATGATCTGAAATGAAAGCACTGCTCTAAAGGATGTTTGTTCACTAGGTTGTTTTGTTGGTGGTTTGGTTTTATTTTAAAGAGCAACTTTATTTTTATTAAAAAAAAGATGAATTCATTAGATAAAGATAGGATCTTTCTATAGATATAAGTATAGTGTAGAAAGCCAAAAACAAATCACTCAAACACTGCCATCCAAGTAACTGTTATCAGTGTTAGAAGAGCATCATTCTAGGTATTTCTCTGTGTGTATAGATGGCTGCTGGCCTGGCAGCATGAGAGACCAGCAGAGAGGACAGGGTGAGACAGGATATGAACAGACAGGAAGCAGCCTGGTGGACGGTTAGACAGGAGGGCTTACAGATGAGCTGATAGACATAAATGAACTGGCAGGCAGGCGTAGAACAGACAGGAAGGTGCAGACTGGCCAGCCAGCAGAGGTGGAGATAAGCAGGAAGGTATAGCTAGACAGGTGGGTGGGTGCAGGTAGACGGGCAGACAGAGGTAGAATTTGGCTGGCAGGGATGGGTAGACAGGCAGGCAGGCAGGCGTGGACAGAAACAGGCGAATTAGACAGAGGTTGACCAAGGTGAAGGCAGGGGCCACGACAGGTGTGTGGAAGTGGCAGGGTTGGGGTGGGGGACCTCAGAATAGCTTTATGACAAGGAAACCTTTAATTCTGAATGCATCTTTAATGCAGTTTTAATGAGTAGTTCTGAATTTTATTTTTACCTGAATTTAAGAGAAGACAGCAAACCCGAAGGAATTGTTGAAATTCCAGTCAATATTCCTTTACCACAAGAAATATTAATTGCTAGAAGACGTGTCTATAATAAAAAGATTATAATAGCATTAAAATATTGGAATCACTTTTTACCTGCATGTTTTAATGTTAGGTGGCACTTGATTTCTTGTTATGAAACGTGAAGAGCTTAGCAGCAGTATTTTTTTGAGCCTCCTCGCCCCATCTGCTGATTTCATTATATTATAAATTTATAATATAATGAATATATAAATATGCATTGTATTGTAAATTTATATTTGCAGTTGATTTTGGAATCCTGATGGGCAGAGGCATTTAATCTTGGTTCTGTATTTTGACAGATTCGTTCCTCCTGGTGTCCACAGCCCTAAAATACTTGCTTTGATTGACTTCTTGGTTGGTCTCGTTTTGTCACTGAGTGGTGTTTTCAAGAAGTTGTATTGGCAGCTCTATTCCCTGAGTCCTACTTATTTATTTATTGAACTATAGTTGATTTACAATATTGTGTTAGTTTCAGGTATACAGCAAAGTGACTCAGTTTTATATATATATATATATATATACATAAAACATATATTACATAGAATATAGAATATAACATATAGAATATAACACATAGAATATGGAATATAGAATATATATGACATACAGAATATAGAATACAGAAGATATATATATATTCTTTTTCAGATTCATTTCCATTATAGGTTATTATCAATACAAGATACTGAATGTAGTTCCCTGTGCTATATAGTAAATCCTTGTTGTTTATCTACCTTGAGTCCTTTTGTGATGGGTAATGTTTTCTTTTTGCCTTTGCACATGAACAGTAGTTTAGCTGGGTATAATAATTTCAGGTCACTTTCTTCCTCTTAGGAATTTATACATCAAAACTTTTCTAGATAAACAAATCAGAAGAGGCAAGAAAACCTCACAAGGATTTCAGTTATACAGTTGAGACTTTAGAATGAATATGTTAACACGTTTAAAGAAATAAAAGACAAGCTTGAAAATGTTTGCAGAAAACAAGAAACCATAGCAGATGACTAAGCAGATATGACTAGGAAGAAAATAGAACTTCTAATGATGAAAAAAATGTAATAATTGAAATATTAAAGGAAAAACTTCAATGGGTAGGTTTAATAGCAGATTAGATACAGCTGAAGAGGGAATGCATTTGATGACAGGTCTGAAGAAATTATCCTGAATGCACCTTGGAGAGGCAAAGAGAGGAAGAGTATGAGAGATTGAGACGTGGAGGAGAGTGAGAAGGTCTGATGTATGTGTTCAGCTCTCTTGTATCCTTGTTATTTTTATTTTTTTGCGGTACGCGGGCCTCTCACTGTCGTGGCCTCTCCTGTTGCAGAGCACAGGCTCTGGACGCGCAGGCTCAGCGGCCATGGCTCACGGGCCCAGCCGCTCCGCGGCACGTGGGATCTTCCCGGACCGGGGCACGAACCCCTGTCCCCTGCATTGGCAGGCGGACTCTCAACCACTGCGCCACCAGGGAAGCCCTATCCTTGTTATTTTTGTCTGCTCTTTTCTCAGCTGAGAAATATCCTACTCTGACTGTGGGTTTGTCTATGTTCACAGTTTATCAGTATTTGATATATATGAATATGAATTTTACTAAGTAAAATTCTTAGTTGCAATACAGATTTAGAATTATTATATGTTCCTTTGAATTGAATCTTTTATCATTGAGAACTTTCTTTTTCTCTAGTAATGCCTTTTTTTTTTTTTTTCCCTCAAATTTGTTCTTGCCTGTTCTGAATATAGCTCTCCAGTTTTCTTTTGGTTAGTATTTTCATGGTGATCTTTTTCTAACTTTTTGCTTTCAACGTCCCCTTTTCATATGTTTTGGATGTCCTCTTATAAATGGCATGTGGTCTTTTTAATAGTTTTTAAAATCCACCCTTATAATCTCCATCTTTTGATTGGAGCGTTATTGCATTTACATTTAATGTAACAACTGCTATAATTGTGTTTACATCTACTATCTTACTTTCTACTTTCTGTCTTAATTTTTTCAGACTGATTACATTTAGCATCCTATTTTTCTCCTCTAGATAAGTATTTTTACACTCATTTGTAATACTTTAAGCATTAACAATATGCATCCCTAACTTAAAATCTAGCTAACTTCAACTTTTACCTCTTGGTATGCATTTTAGTTCCATTTACTCCTTCTCAGTTTATATACCACTGTTATGTACGTGTATGCCATTTAATGCCATATTATGAATATATAATATGTATTGTATATACACAAATATATATATACATATACATATATATCATCTCTTTCAGAACTACTGTAATTATTTTATCCAGTTTTATTCTTTTTATTCATATATATTCATATATATATATTATTCATTCAGATTTATCCAAATAATTACCATTTTTATTGCACTTTATTTCTTCCCAAATCTCTGACCTGGAATTATTTTCTTTCTGCTTAAAGAATAACTTTTAGTATTTCCCTTAGATTAGGTCTCTTGGTAAAAATTTTCTCATTTTCTTATCTGAAAATGTCTTTGTTTTGCTTTTATTTTTGAAATATTTCTTTATGGATGTCAGATTCTACTTTGGCAGCTGTTTTCTTTCTGCACATTGAATATTTTGTTCCATTGGTTTTTGGCTTTCATTCTTTCTTTGAGAAGTTATGCTAAGTTATGTGGTTATTCCTTTGGAAGAAATGTGTCTTTTTTCCCCCTGGCTCCTTTTAAGATTTTCAGATTGTCTTTGGTTTTCAGCAGTCTTAGTGTAATATACTTTGAATGTATCCTGCTTGTGTTTCTTTGTGATTCTTGAATCTGTGGCTTGATGTGTTTTATCATTTTGGGTAAAATTCTCAGCCATTCTATCATCAGATATTGTTTCTGCTGCTTTTGACTCATTCTTTCCTTCTGCATCTCCAGCCATGGAAAGGATAACCTTTGCATTGAGTTCTCTCTCACCTCTCTTCTGATGGAGCCATCCTGTGTCTCTCTGTGCTTCATTCTGTATATTTTCATCGGATTTTTTTTTCCAGTTTACTCTTCAGCTATGTCCATCCTACTGTCAGCCATTTACACTGGGCTTTTAGTTTGGGTTATTTTATTTTTCAATTTCATATACATCTTTTTCTGATACTTTACCTAGATCTCTTATATGTTTAAATTATTATCTGTTTTTAATGTGATTTTATTAATGTTGACTTCTTTGCTCACATTTCTGATTTTTTTACTAATGTGCTGTATATCATATTAATCAGACTGTGCAAATAATTTTGGTTTTACTGTGCTTTTATTTTCCTCCAGAGGGCATTTATATTTGCTTTCTGGGAGGAAGGTAATATTGAATTTGGGTTACATAGTTGTCTATGTTTGGATTCTGATCACCTTAAACAAAAATTCTGTGTGCAGATGTGTAAGGGGATTCTTTAATGTTAAAAAGTTCACATAAGTATGCATAATGCTACAACTGGCCAGTTGGACAACTGACTCTCAAGAAAAGAAGGGAGGGAAGGAAGGAGGAAAGAAAGAAGGAAGGGAAAGGAAGAAAGAGAAAGGAAAGGACAGGGAAAGGCAAAAAAAGACAAAAGAAAGAAAACAAAAGCCCTGGTTGGTAACATTTGCCAACTTCTGTGTTGCCCCTACTCCCACTATGGCCAATTCAAGTTACCAACACAGTGTCACTGAACGTGAACTTGGGAAGAGACATGACAACTGGCTGTACTATAATCTCTACCATCTCATCATCTATTTCTCATTTGTGGGGAAAAGTTCTGTTGTACAATTATTATTGTTCATACAGTGAATTAATATATCTCTATAAGTATGCATTTTGGTTATTTTGTGGGAAAAAAAATTGCATTTTGTTTTCTGGCCCAATTACACAATTGGCCCAATTGAAGCAACTGCTGTAAACACAATTGTCTTTTTTCCTCAGATAAGTTTGGTGTGCACAGGAACATGTGGCCCTGTGTAGTCTGTGTTTCAAAGGAAAGTCTGAGATTGGTGCTGGGTGTTGAAAATGTCTGTTGGGCTCTTTGGTGACCTGAACTTGTGTTAAAGGGAGTTTCTCTTACCATTTTAGGCATTTTTGCTGCCTTCCTGTGACATAGCCGTAACCAGAAAAGTAGTTCAAGTGTACAGAAAGTGGATCCTCCAGGACAAACCTGTGTTCATGGAGGAACCAGACATAAAAGAAGTTGCCCAAGAAGATGCTGAAAAATTAGGATTTTCAGAGACTGATAACAAGCAGGTAATATCTTATCACTTAGTGTTTGAGTTGGGAACATCTGTATTAAAACATAAAGCAAAGTATTCTGCTCAGTCAAGGGTCGCAGTCAGGCCACCTCTTTGTTGTCAGCTCTGTTGCTCTCGGGTTGCTGAGTTCCATGATGAGCGCCTGCCTCAGGGAGGCTGCTTCTGTTCTCTGTTCAAGGTCCTCTGTCACATCCTAAGCTCAGGCTTGGCCACATGTGCGTGGCAGCTTCTTTATTCACTACTGCATGAGAGTCTTTGAATAAGCCAATATACTTTGCATGTCTCTGTATGAGACTAAAAACGTCACTGCCATATCATTGATATGCTTAAATAAGTAATATTCACTTAACTAAATTTAGAATGTTTTGGCAGACTTTCCTTGTACAGTGGCCATACCAGCAACAGTCCAATGTGACACACAATATTAATAAGCGAAGTGAGCCTCGCTTCAGGGCTGGGTGCTGTTCTCAGAGAGGGGTGCTATCAGGATGGACCTTTCATTCCATGTTAGATAAAGCCACAGGTGCGAGTGGGCCTCTACTTGATGCACAAAAAAAACTTAGGTCGTATTTATATTTCTGGCATGCTATTTTGACATCTAGTCTGAGAATTCTTTCTAAAAGTGGGTGTTTGTCATGGCAATTAACACCAAACATTAAAAAATACTTGTAACCAAAGGTATATCACTTTTAAATATCTACATTAATTCCCTAATTTGATTTTTCAATATTGAAGTCATCTTAATAACTAGTCATGAGATCAAAACAAATCAACAGTCATGTTCACTGGGTCACTGGACAAGCGTTATCTATTTCTTCAGCACATACTAAGTGCTAAGCACCATTTTAGGTGATGGAGGTAGAATGGTGAACACAATAGAAGAGAGGCTTGCCTTCTAGAACCTGTAATCTCATGAATTCTGGTGAGCGTAAGGAACTAAATACACAACATGTGCTTCTCCCCACTCTGTTGACTGACTGTTATTTTCTAAAGACCTCATCTGAAAGTTCTGGTCACAAGCGATCTTCCAGTTGGGGACGAACTTATTCCTTCACGAGTGCTGTGAGCAGAGGGTGTGTGACCGAAGAGGAGAATAAAAACGTGAAGGCTGGAGCCCAAGCTATGCTGCAGGTACGCGCTGGCCACAGACGGGAAGGCTCCCGGATGGAGTCAGCTTGAACATTTTGTTTATTGGGGGTGACATCGTATAAAGTATGGTGATGTTTTTAGCTATCCATCAGTGAACAGCCCTTAAATTCTCATGCTAAGTTTTCTTTCTGCTTGCCCACCTTCAATTTATAAAGATTTTTTTTTTTTTTTTTAGTCAGAGAAGACATCTGAACTGGTTGCAGTTTTTTGAGAGGGATTGTTATACAGTGAATATATGACTGAGATTTCAACCTTAAAAGTATCTTCTTTTTATTTATTTATTTAACATCTTTATTGGAGTATAATTACTTTACAATGGTGTGTCAGTTTCTGCTTTATAACAAAGTGAATCAGCTGTACATATACATATGTTCCCATATCTCCTCCGTCTTGCGTCTCCCTCCCACCCTCCCTATCTCACCCCTCTAGGTGGTCACAAAGCACTGAGCTGATCTCCCTGTGCTATGCGGCTGCTTCCCACTAGCTATCTGTTTTACATTTGGTAGTGTAT